TTTTCCCAGCAACAGCCACTTCCTTAGGGCCACCCCTATCAGCGCCCTGGAGTGCAGACTCGCAACTAGCCTTCGGTGAAGTGTTTCTATTGTGGCCACCCTGGGCATACGTAGTAGGAGTGCTGCAGGCGTCTTCGTATATGCTACACTTGTGGATCCCCCAACCATGTCAGTCAGGACTGTCCGTAGTGACAGCAGGCCCGCTTGCCCCCACCTCTAGTTTGGGCAGCTCTTCCAGCCCTACCTCTGTAGGCGTCAAAAAATGCTAATAGATATCCCAAACATAGAGAAGATCACTCAAAGGGAACTCATATTGAAAATCAAAACAGGAATGAACTGTCTCGCCAGCGAGACAGGCTTTGCTGTCTCACCAGCGAGACAGTATTTGCTGTCTCGCCAGCGAGACAGTATTTGCTGAGACAGCATTTACTGTCTCGCTGAGCGAGACAGCAAATTTACTGTCTCGCGGGTCGAGACAGCAAACGCTGTCTCGCCCAGCGAGACAGTAAACACTGTCTCGCCGTACTGACTTCTTCGATTGTTAAGTTTTTGCAGTTACTGACCCTTGAGGCTATAAATACCCCCCTAGGGTCACTTCTGACGAGGATCGAGCATTTGTTAGAGCATTCCAGAGCAGAGAGAGAGCAGATTTGAGTTCTTTTCTTGCAACGCCTTGAAATTAAGCTTTGACTTGATTTTAAGAAGAACGACTATCTTACTTCGATAAGATATCGTTTCAATTTCTCACTTCGATAAACGAAGTCAGAATCAGTCTAAACCCCCTTCACGATCTGTGATTCGGCGGTCTACGAACCAAAGCGTTCCCGGCACAGGCAAAGTCCCACGAAAACAAAGATCGATAGACGATTTTTGTGTTTGTTTCTCAAAAGTTGTAATTTTCGCTTTGTTGTGTAGAAAAAGTCTTATAAAAAGATTATTCTTTCGAATTTGTTGTAATCAAACAAAGTTATAATGAATTCCTCAACAGAACCGACTTTTGACTCAAACAAGCTGGCGACCACAGTGGGAGCCAGCGGTCTCGCTGCCGAGACCGCGGTGTCGCAACCGATCAAGATCATCGTCAATGAAGAGATCGAATACGAATTCGATCAGGCGAAGTTTGAGGAGTACTTGTCATCCTCATCCGCGAAATCTTCTTCGTCTCGTAAATATAGGAAGATTTCGAAAACTTTCAAGTCTGCAATTCCAACGGAGGCCGCAGACAAAGATTCTTGCTCAATCGTTGTTAAGGAGTCTCCTTGGAATGTCCCTGCTCAAAACGACTCTACACCAGTTACGGAGTCGTTGATCAATAGCTCACCGGTGCTGACGAAAAGAGCTCGTCAGAGACAGCGCCAGCGCCGTGCTCGACAATTGGCTAAAGCCATGCAACAAACCGACGGGGTCCATTACTATGCGGACCTAGAGTCGAGGAGGCAGAAAATGATTCAATTGCCTCAACGGCAAGATAATCATATTTCTGCACAACTTACGACGGAGGAGTGGACTCTCGTCAAAAGGGCCCGTTCAACCCTTAAGGAACGGATACAAAGGCGTAAAGCAAAGGCCGCCCATGCTCGTGCTCTTCGTCAACAAGCCCAAGGAACCAAGAAGGAGACGGTGTCTGAAAAGCCACCGAAGAACCGCAGAGTTTGGATGCCGAAGATGTCGCAAACATCTGTTCCGGGCCTGTCTACTGCATCAGCAGTGAAACCCTGGGTTAGCCCAGATTTGTCCAAGTTCAAGATGGCAGATCGCCTCGGTCCTTCAGTTGACAATCGAGGCAAATCCCCAGTCAAGGAAAATCCAGGTCCAGCAAATAAACCGTTAATGGTTCCATATGCAGGGGGTCGTAAACACCCTCCTGTCAGAACTGCACAAGTCCAAAACGAGAAAATACCAGTTCACTCTCGTTTAGGACCTCTGAAAACTCCATACCCGCAAGGGGGTGGATTAAAAAATTTAACTTTGGATCACACAGAGGCGACGACCAGTCGTCCTGTGTATGTTAACAAAGTTCAAAAACAAAGGATAGGTTGCTCGAATCACAATAATGATGAGCTGTACTATCAGAAGAATGACTCAAGAAAGAGAAGCGTCCGAGAAAACGAGTCTCATTGCGCTTGCGAGAGACTCATTAAAGCAGTGCTGACAGAATGCGGATGCTCTAAAAATAATTCAAGAGTCTCCGTATTTCAAAGATTGTCCAATGAAGCGTCAAGACCCAAAATGAGACGTTTCAACAAGAAAAAATCTGTAATCCGACAAGAGGAGCTTCCTGAGGTCACTATCAACATGACCAATAAAGGAAAGCAAAAGTCAGTTAACTACGACCCTGATTTCTCTCCGGGAGGGAAAGTTGAGCGGGGTCTTTCTCAAAGGATGGCGCGGCTACAAAGAAGAGCCAACTTACGTCTAGATTACAGGAGAATGCACGAGGGTTTATCTTCAGATGAAGAATTGTCGGACACTTGTTCCGCTATTACATCGGACGATACCGCGTCCAGTGTTGGACGAGTCAGAGAATCGTTCGCAATCACGCCGGATCAACTGGCTCACATCTTGCAGGAGGCGTTGGCTAAACAACGCGAAGAAATTAGAGCTGAATTCAAAATCGAGATGGAGTTGACTATGCAGCAGATGCGAGATTTGCAGGTTCAGCAACACCAACCGGAATCAAGCCAAAGAGCAGAATCCAGTCGGCGTAATGAAGAGGATGAGACGATATTTGAAGATCCTCCTCCAGATAAAGACAACTCCGGAAGCGATCCGACCAAGTCAGCCACTCAACCTCCACAGATCTATTTGAAGAAAAGCGAGGAAGAGGACAAGAAGATGCACGATCTTGAGAGCAAAGTCAACGCTTTGATGACGGCTCAAGAAGTGAAGAAAACGGGCATCCCATACCCGTACCCGAGGGAGTGGGACCTGATTCCTTATCCCCAGAAATTTAATTTGATTAACTTTACTCCTTTTGATGGCAGGGGTTCACCAACTCAGCACTTGATCTATTTCAAGTCACATCTCGGCGCAATATCCGGGAACGAAGCCCTGATGGTCCGGTCATTCGTAGGAACCCTTCGCGGGCCTGCCTTCGATTGGTACCGACGCCTTAAGCCCGGGAGTATCACTAGCTGGGAGGATATGGAAGAACTATTCCTTACCAATTTCTTCGACGACGACACGGAAGTTTCGATCGGCACGTTGTTGGATGAGAAGCAGAAGGATGGGGAATCGGTTGATGTCTTTGTCAAACGATTCCGGGACAAAGCGGTGAACTGCAGAGATCCACTCACTGAGGAATTTATTCTGCAAACATGTCATAATAATCTGTCCTTGGATGTATTAGAAGTGGTGGGGGTTGTTCCCTCTAAAACTTGGAAAGAGATGAAAGTAAGAGGTGAACAAGCTGAACGCTTCCTCAAGAGAAAGAATTTGGAGCGAGGTTTGCCACCAGCTAATAATCAGAATCAAAATCAAAAGCAGAACTTTAACCCTCGAGGCAGAGGAAGAGGGTCTGTAGCCGCTGTGGACGCACATCAGACGTCACAACAGCCACCGCAACAACCGCAACAATCATCCTTCCCCACCGCAACAACAACCGCAGCAGTCATCCTTCAACCTGGCGCCAAATCAGAATCAGCAGCCCCCTAGGCAGCCCAAGACTTCTGAGCCTAGATTTCCGAAGGAATACTCTTTCAAAGATGATGAAGTTCCAGTCATCTTCAAATACTTGTTGGAGAACAACAAGATCAAGCTTCCACCGGTCACAAACCAAGAAGAAGCCACGAAGATTAATGACCCGAAATACTGTGCATATCACAGAAGGGTTCACCATCCAACTAAGACGTGTTATGTCTTGAAAGACAAAATACAAACCTTAATTGATGTTGGTATTGTGACGCCGAAGCCGAAGGAGAAGAAAGTAGGCGCAAACGCAGTCTCAATTAGCTTCGGATCGGTTCCTTTGTCCTGGTTTCAAGCCGAACCAGTATCAAAGGTCAAGATGCAAACCATCAACGATGACCCTCATGGACAGCGCCAGAAGGGGGCTTGTATCTCACACAACCCCAACGGCGAAATCCTTTGGGTTCATCCGGATTTGCTCGAGGATGAACAGTGGACAGCATCCACATCGAAGAAGAAGTCAAAAGGCAAGGGAAAAGAGAAGTCATGTTATGGAGCCTCAGCGATTCCTGAGAAGAATGATGAGGAGATCCCAGCTTTACCACTTTCTGAAGGAGAACAAGAAGTTCTCGCTACAAGAAGTGGGAATGAGTACCATTATAAATAACAACTTTGAAAGAGTTGGGGATAGTTACAACTCCTCCAGTAGCTGCTGAAAAGCCGCAACAACCAGCTAAGCAAAAAGAGAAAGAACCCCAACATAAAGAGGTTCAAATTCCGAAGCAGCCTCGTTTCAGCCGACCGATTGGACGAGATAAACCGGAAAGCTCAAATGCACCATATCGTTTCGACATTATGGCTCAGCTAGCCAATATCCCAGCAAGGATCACGCTATACGAGTTGTTGCGTCTCTCAAAAGAAACCAGGGAAGCTTTACAAAAAGCTTTGGCTGATTCTGATGTATTCCTCACCCAGGTCAAGCCAGCTCCTGAAGAGCCAGAGTCGTCAGTGCAACATTGCAATTTGGCAGCCAGACATGCAAGTCAGGAATTCAAAGCATGATAGACCGTTATATTTTACTGGATATATCGGTTCGAGCATGGTTAACCGGATCCAAGTCGATCCGGGTTCCGCTGTTAGTATCATGCCACTTCGTTTGATGTACCACCTCGGAATTCCCGCCAACAAGTTAGCCTCCACTGGAACGGTTATCTATGGTTTCAACACAAGCGGATCATGACCGTTGGGAAAAATCCGGGTGAAGTGTCAACTCGGAGATCTGAAGTCTGAAGTCACCTGCTATGTGATCGATGCGGAGACTTCTTATAACTTACTGTTGGGTCGCCCATGGATCCACGGTAATCTTATAGTTCCCTCCACCCTTCATCAGTGTTTGAAGTATGTCGACACTAATGAAGAGGTCAATACGGTGGTCGCGGATAAGCAACCATTCAAGTGGTTAGAAAATTATTTTACTGACTCCCTTCTTTATGGTGCTGAGTCCGATACTGAACCATCGGCCCATGGCACGGACAGCGGAGAAGAAGCTGATACCGAAGCCGGGCTCGATTATAGTGAAGGTCTTGTACTAAATGACATTGAACCTCTTGTAATCGATCTTGACGATTATGAATCGTCGGATGAAAGTTGTAACTGGCAACTTGCCGATGAAATAATAAAGGATGATTTAGAGTATTCGATGCAGAAATTGTACGACGACCCTAGTCTACATATGCCACTTCGTTCGTCCTGTACGAAGATGAAACACCTCCAAGATTCAAGCGGAACAACTGTGATCTTACCCGCAAAGACAGGGGGTGAAAAAGAGATAGTCTTTGGAAAAGGGGAACCATCCCCTACTCCAGATCATTTCTTGAACATTAATTCGGATGAAGAAAAACCCGGGCGACATTTCTCTCGGTACAGTTCGCAAGCGAATGATTATATGACGAACCGGGGTTATGACCTCTCACTCGGCGAAGGTCTTTATTTTGGTCAAGGTATTAGGGTTCCACCCCGTCCTGCTTATGTACAAAAAGGAAAACCAGATAATTATTACAGTCGTAATAGGGGTCTGGGTTATGCTTCATCATCCGATGATGATTATGGCCAACAGATCATTAACCAATTAATAGATAGGAGCGGACATTCATCCGATACTTCAAATTGGGACAGATCATTAACCAATTAATAGATAGGAGCGGACATTCATCCGATACTTCAAATTGGGATTCTGATGTAAACATTGGAGAAAAGTTCAAAACGCTCATGTCAAACATGGCAATGGTTGACCCTTCTACAACAGAAGAGGACGATCAGTTACCCACTTGGGAAGATCCTTGGATACATTACATATCTGGTCGGTGAAGTACTAACCAAGTCATCAGATAAGTGTAGGGTAGCTCCAACTTCGGAACGGACAGACTGGCGAAGGGTTTCTTTTTCTCCTGAGTAAACACGGAGATTAATTGTCGTAATCCACTATGAATATCGGCCACCATTATTCGAGAATATATCGACGTATTCGCTTGGAGTTACGAAGATATGCCGGGACTCGACCCAGACGTAGCGATGCATAGCCTTAATATAAAACCGGATGTTAAACCTGTCAAACAATAACAAAGACGGTTTCGTCCGCAAATTATGGAGGCAATAGAAGCTGAAGTCAAGAAGCTAATTGATTCGGGTTTTGTCAGAGAGGAACAACACCCTGAATGGTTGGCCAATATTGTTCCAGTCCTTAAAAAGAATGGAAAAATCAGGATCTGTATTGACTTCAGAGATCTGAACACGGCCTGCCCCAAAGACGACTTTCCTCTACCGATTACGGACGTCATCATTGACAACACATGCGGGTTTGAAAGAATGTCATTCATGGATGGATTTTCTGGGTATAATCAAATCAAGATGCACCCGGATGATGAAAAGCATACAGCATTTAGAACACCCCTGGTGTCTTTTGTTATACTGTTATGCCATTCGGCTTGAAGAATGCCGGTGCTACCTACCAACGAGCAATGACGAAGATCTTTCAAGAGCACCTCCGGAAGACTGTCGAATGCTACGTTGATGACCTGGTCGTTAAGAGTCGCGATAAAAATGACCACATTAACGATCTGAAGACAATGTTCGAGCTTATGAGAACTCATCAGCTAAAAATGAACCCGACTAAATCCTTCCTTGGAATGTCGAGCGGTAAATTTCTTGGATTCGTCGTCACCACAAAAGGTATTCATATTGATCCTGATAAGTTGAAGGCAATACACGAGCTACAACCCCCGAGAAATCTTAAAAAGCTCAGAGGGTTGCAAGGTCGATTGGCATACATCCGTCGGTTTATATCAAATCTGTCGGGAAAATGTCAACCGTTCTCTAAACTCGCGAAAAAAGGCGTGTCGTAGAAGGCATTCGAAGATATCAAGAAATATCTAGCGAATCCACCTATTCTCGTTGCACCGAAATCGGGCAAGCCGTTTTTGATTTATGTCAAAGCGACGAGCCATTCGTTAAGTGCATTACTTGCACAAGACGACGATAACGGTCACGAGCAAGCTGTGTATTATCTGAGTCGTACATTGGTAGGAGCTGAGTCTCGTTATCCGATGATTGAGAAGGAATGCCTCGCTTTGGTATTCGCGATTCAGAAAATGCGACATTATTTAGTCGGACAGACGATTTATGTCATTTCCAACATAAATCCCGTCCGAGTGTTCATGACCCAACCGGCTTCCATGAATTGGCGGTTGGCTAGATGGGCCTTACTCCTATCGCAATATGACTTGTACTTCAAGCAACAGAAATCTGTTAAAGGACGAGCTATTTGCGACCTTCTGGCAGAAAACCCTACGAAGGATGTAGTCGAATTGTACGACGACCTGCCAGATGAAACTCACGAAGTTAATACCACCTCACATCAACAAGTGTGGCAATTGTACTTCGATGGGGCTTCCCGATCAACCAACGTGGCAAGTGCACCCGGATGTTCTAAAATCTCCTCAGGAGTGGGGGTCGTTTTAGTTTCCCCGGAAAAGCACGTCTTGCCTAGAGCATATTCACTGACTGAACCATGCTCTAATAACGTGGCTGAATACAATGCATTAATAATCGGACTTAATTTCGCCAAAGAGCTGGGGGTCGAATACCTTGAAGCTTTTGGAGATTCTCAACTGGTGGTTAATCAAATACGAGGAGAGTATGAAGTCAGAAATCGAGACCTGATTCCATACCACCAGGTGGCCATCGAAATAGCAAGCTCGTTTGAAGAATTTTTCATCGAGTACGTTCCGCGTCTCCAAAATACATACGCGGATGCATTGGCAGCATTGTCAGTATCCTTGGCTCAACCTCCCGAAACAGAGCAATTAATTACAGTGAGGACTCATCAGCTTATTGTTCCAATCTACGATTCGAATGCTAAAGAGGTATACTCAACTGGAGTTGAACCCGAAGTTCGAGATTGGCGTTTTCCTATTATTGACTACGTCTTACATGGTATATTACCTGAAGATGTAAGAGAAAGGGAATCGATTCGGCGAAGAGCGCCGAGATTTTATTACAATGCCACATCGCAAACGTTGTATCGACGAGCTTATGATGGTCTTTTACTTCGTTGTCTATCCAGTAAAGAAGCGGAACAAGCACTCAAAGAGGCACATAATGGGATATGCGGTGCACATCAGCCCGGTCCTAAACTCTGCGACCGACTTAGGAGAATCGGATATTATTGGCCAACTATGGTGAAAGACGCAGTCGATTACGCACGACAATGTGTAGTGTGTCAATTGCATGCAAATTATATGCACATACCCCCTGAATATCTGCATCCTTCGGCGACATCGTGGCCGTTTGAAACTTGGGGAATGGATATAGTAGGTCCTATTTTTCCACCTTCGGTTAAAGGGGACCGTTTCATTCTGGCAATCACCGATTATTTCTCGAAATGGGCAGAAGCAGTTCCACTTAGAGAAGTAAAGACGACCAATGTCATCAAATTTATCAAACACCATATCATATATCGGTACGGTGTGCCAAGGCGAATAGTGCACGACAACGGTCCTCAGTTCGTGAGCAACGCATTCATCAAGTTCTGCGGTAAATTCGGGATTAAAGACGTTTCGTCGACTGCTTATAATCCTACAGCTAACGGATTGGCCGAAGCTTTTAACAAGACTATCATCAAAATCCTGGCAAAATTGGTGAAAACCAATAAGCGAGATTGGGATGACAAACTCGGCGAAGCTCTCTGGGCTTATCGTACGACCGTCCGCACGCCTACCGGAGCCACCCCGTATGCTTTAACGTATGGGTGTGAAGCCGTTCTTCCATTGGAAGTGCAGATTCCTTCTCTCCGTATCGCTCTCGTAACGGGAATGACGACGGAAGAACATCATCAGAAACGTCTCGAGGAATTAGAGATGTTAGATGAGAAACGCTTGGAAGCTCAACAACAAATCGAGTTTTATCAAGCTAGAATTTCTCGGGCTTTCGATAAAAAGGTCCGACGACGAAGCTTTAAAGAAGGAGATCTAGTTCTCGCCGTTCGAAGACCTATGATTCTCACTTCTAAGAAGAAAGGCAAATTTGAACCTAAATGGGAAGGACCGTTTGTGATAGAAACAGTCTATTCGAACGGTGCATATCGCCTGGTTACCCAAGATGGCAACAAAT